TACTTTTTAGTCATATTTGTATATTGTGTAAGTATTTTCAACACAGCAAAACATTATTATTTGGATGATAGTTTATATTTTTATGTCTCTTTTTTTTTTTGCTCTAAGGAATATTCAGGATTCTACAAATGTGGAATTCTGTTACAATGCATTACCACAGAGAGGATTGATTATTGTAAGGCCCCAGTAATTTTAATTTTTCACCAGATAATTGCTCACAGCAATATGATTACAAAACTAGGGCCTTTCTTACATTAAACCTCCTAAAATCAGGACTACTTATAGATAATGACAGTAATTTTAGACCAAAAGAATACAAAGGGAGCCACTGTAGAAGTTTTTGCTTTAGATGACAAAAGCTTAAAGCCCATCATACTATCCTTTTTTAAATTTGATGTTTCTTTTGCAGCCTAAAACTCTATTATTTATAACTTAGAAACATTCCATACTTCTTAGAGCAAAAGAAACACAGAATAGATAAACAATTATGGAAAGAAGGAAGAAGAAAAATGAAGAGGGAAAGAAGAAAAAGGGAAGAGATAGTTTAAGTACAAACTTAGCTGAATCTAATTACAAGACTTCAAGTTTAATCTAACTAAATTCAGGGTTTTTTATCTACCACAGAATAATTGTATACAAGATTAAATCCCCATCATCTACCAAACCAGAACTTTTTAGGTCAAAGAAAAGCTGACAGATTCTCTCAGTGGGGCTCCTGCAGTCCTTTCTGCCTGCTGGCATGTTGCTTATCAAAGCATGACAGCCACTTGGCTTTGAATCATTACATTGAGGTGAAATAGTGAAAATTAGAACAAGATAATAACATTACACACCAGCTGCATTTGTTCTGCAAGGGAAATTTCACAAAACTATACAGTACAATTATTTGTAATCAAATAATTTTTTCTTTATACATGTACACAGAAATTCATACCAAAAATTGCCGAGTTTTCTGACTGTGATTGTTCTATGAATATACATGTGAATATTTCCAGATTTTCTAAATAAATTACTTGGTTTTGTATGCAGTTGTAATTTTTTTTATTAGACATCAATCTGGAGGAGGGAAGGCTGCTTTTGATGCTACTCTTCAAGTCTTTTCATAGTTCAGGTATCTTAAATTATCACTGTTTTTTTAATGCAATAGCATAAAATACTTGATTATTTTTCATAATGAATATGTGTGATTTAGGCATATAAACAAAAGTTTGAAAGGCATGACCCAAGGCATCAGGTCCAGTTCACTAAGGCAGCAAAGTTACGTAACTCCTGATATGATCACCTTCCCAATGTGCTAACAAATGGAAAGCTACAGACATGCTTTGCTCTCCTAGGCCAATTGAGACAACCTCTGCAACCATTTTTGGTGTGTCCATTCCTTCACACAACTATTTTTTCACTCTTCTGGATTGTAATATTTTCTTGATGTTAGTTGGGCACAGTTCTGTTTAGCATTCCAGGTAAATTCCCAGCAGTGTCCTCTACAGTTAATGCTACTTCTGATACTTCACTTTTCCTTAACTAATATTTATCATGTAAATTATGAGCTCCCAGTTTTAGAGCAGAAGTTCTTACTTCCCAACTGCATGACTAGGGAATTTGTACTACCAAAAATTCCAGTATCAAGTTCATCCAGTTATGTTGCAATACTGTTCTCCTCAGTTCTGAAATGCCCCCAGCCTCCTCTGAACTAAAACTATGCAACTGAATTGTAGAAGAAAAGAATTTGTAAAAGTATTAACTAAGCCCTTTGTTGCCATCTTCTTAAGAGTTTTATGATTTGGCTAGCAACTACTATATGTAGCAAACTCCCATTAGCCTCAAGGAGCAGAGAAGATTTACTATATATAACCAACACAAAGGCTTTATTTTTATCTGTAGTATTGGGAAAATTGAATTTTAGAGGACTGGAAATACCTTGACCTATTTAGGAACTGAGTTCTTGATGATTTTGAAGGCAGCAGTTGTTGTGCCTGTGTGAGATTAATCACAGAGATTTCTGCCTGAAGTACAAGACCTAGGTTGCTGTTAATATTGGTAGTAATTATGGAGTGCTTGATCTGGCCTTTTATGTATCATAAAAGTCAATGCAAGTTCATCAACCCTTTTCAAGGGTGAAATGAATTGTTCACCTTCCATTCTGAATTTTGTATGCATCTGAACATACTTCACTGTGTTTTTATAGAATGAACTGCAAAGTTGGAGTCTTTAAGCCATACTTTGAACACCACACTGTTCCAATATACATAAATTGCTAAGGATGAGAGTTATTCAGCTACCAGTGTTGTTTTTACAATGTGTTCATATTTCTCATTATAAGATATTTGAATGCGGAAAAATACTAATTTCCAGGTTAAAATCACTGGATGTAGTCCTTCTGCTGTATATGTTACTTTTAACGTCACCAGGTGGTCAGTCTTTCTATTTCCTAGTTTTTAAATGTTGTAGCATAAGTACAAAGCAAGTAATATAATATCCAAAGCCTTGTTTCCTATTTTAGGTTCTTTGCTCCTTTAACTGATCCTGTTCTTTATGTTAAATGCACAACAATACCATATTCTCATAATACTCTATGCTTTTGCAACTTTTATCTTGCTACAGTAACTCCAGCACTCTCACACAGTCTGTACAATTCCATTTTCTCTATTGCCTATTCTTAGACATTTTAGGTCTCTTGGGTTGATGGTTGGGCAAAACCATTGTGTGATGGTAAGGCTGTCACAGAAGCCAAAACAGAACAAGTTTAAACTTTCCTTTTGTTTCAAAAGAGAATTAGTTGATTTCACTCCTCTAACCAGCCATTAGTATGTAGGCATTTCCTATTTCTGCTTCTGAACACTTTGTCACTTCCCTAATGGAAGAGGGAGGTATTCCTTTAACTGTAATTCTTGAAGGTTTGTGAATTTTTTTCACTAAAGCAGACAGCCATTATATATATATATATATATATATATATATATATATATAATAGCATCATATTCATCATATGGTGGTTCAGTATATGAGAGACAGCCTTAGATGAACAACCCTTCTACAGCTTCAGTTAGAATTCCTTCCAGGAGCAGCAGCAGAGTGTACTCAACAGGAAAAGAGAGGTCTCACAGAGGTTTGCAGGAGACCTCTCTCTCTTTTTTCTTCCTATCTCATTTTGGGTTGGTGGGGAACATGCATCAGCTGCAGGGAAGTGCACAGCAATCATACTCACAGTGAGCCTTTCTGAGATCTTAGAGAGCCCCTAAAGTGAAAAAGTGGCTCCAAGTCTCTGGCATCAGGGACAAGTGAATACAGTCCTACCAGTATGAGGCTGTGCTACTGGGAGAGCAGCTTACAGTGCTGGAAAGGTGAGTAAGCAGCTCAGAAATGGAAACTGCTCTGTAATTAAAGGAAAGTCTATTCACATTTTAACAGCTTCAGTGAAGTATACTGGCTGTAGGCCAATAGCTAAAATGTAATAACCAGAACATTCTAAGAGGTTGTGTTTTGTCTATAGTGCTGATAATGTATGTTTATGAAAAAGTGTTAGAAATACTACTTAAAACGGGGGCTATTCCTGCTGTGTAGATTGGATTGAAATGACTCCTTATATCTCTCTCCAGTATTTGTTGTGCATAAACAATTATTTGGGATGTAACCTTTCATCCAGACATTGCTTGGCAGCAACTAGAAAAATGTTGACACACTGGCTCCATCCCCAGGCTGCAGAACTGGGAAATTTTAAGTAAACAATTTCAGATTGTGAGCAGCTGCAAACAGCTCTGCTCAAAACTGCTTATGCAAGAACTTCCCACCCCATGTCAGTTCCAATGGATTAGAGTAACAAAGAACTACTATTCACAGCATTTTATGTCTCGTGTTGATGGAACTTAATTGGGAATGAATTCCCCAAAGCAGGTAGTTGTGTCAAAGAGTGCTGGTGATGCCCAGGTAGACAAGGTAACCTCTTCCACTGACAGCACCTCAGCATCTGTTAGGATCAAAAGGAAAAAGTGATCAGAGCATGGCCTTCTTACATAAGAGCAAATAAGGAGAGTTGCATGGAAATAACGTGCTTGGAGCCTTGGGTTGCAGATAAAAAACATTGAGCAGAACCATAGGATAGAACAGGGTTTTCTGAAGGAATACTGTTTTATTCATGAGGCCCAAACAGGCCTGTTGTAGCGTGTTTGAGACTGTTGTTGGGTTGTTATTTGTCTTTATGAATGCTGGACCTGTACTCCTTGAGAAAACTACTTACTGGGTCTTAATACATTTATGTCGGGTAACACTTAAAGGAGGGAATGGATGGATACACAGAGTATTTTAATTGAATTTTAGAAACTCATGATAATGTTGGAGAGCAGAGTTGAACTCCCAAGTCGATTAAGCTCGAGTCATAGAGCGGTGGGATGATCACAGCAGCATTCCGCAGTAAAATGCTTACAACCAATTCCCTAGACAGGAAAAAGCAATGCTCATTTTAACCCATATCAGCGCGTAGATCCACGCGTTTCCCAACAGAAGTGCGGCACCGCACGAGTGCCCGGGCGGCCGGGCCG